CCGAGCCCGGCTTTTTTTATTTTTATTTTTTGAGTTGGAGTCTCACTCTGTCACCCAGGCTGGAGTGCAGTGGCTCACTCTGGCCACCGCAGCCTCGAGCTGAGTAGCTGGAACCTTCAGCCTCAGCCTTCCGAGTAGCGGAAATACAGCCATGTGCCATCACGCCCAGTTAATTTTTTTATTTATTATAGAAACGAGGTCTCGCCATGTTGTCCAGGCTGGCCTTGAACCCACGGCTCTGGCAATCCTCTCGCCTTGGGCTCCCGAAGTGCCAGGATTACAGGCATGAGCCACAGCGCCTGGCTTTTTTGTTTGTTTGTTTTTTGTTTTTAGTCAGGTTCTCACCTTGTTGCCCGGGCTGGAGTGTGGTGGCACGACCCAGGCACACCATAGCTCCGACCTGGGCTCAGGCAAACGTTCTCCACCGAAGTCTCCTGAGTAGCTGGCACTACAGGAGAGTGTGATCACACTTAAAAAAAAAAATGAGCCTGGATTATTTTTTTGATTTTTGATAAAGATGAAGTTTTGCTGTGTTACCCATGCTAGTCTTGAACTCTCGGCCTCAAAAGCACCTCCGGGCCAGGCATGGTGGCTCAAGCCTGTAATCCCAACACTTTGGGAGGCGGAGGCGAGAGGATTGAGCTCGCGTTCGAGACCAGCCTGGGCAAGACGGCAAGACCTCGTGTCTACAATAAATCAAAAAATTGGCCGGGCGTGGTGGCACCCATCTGTAGTTCCAGCTACTTGGACGGCTGAGGCGGAAGGATCGCCGGAGCCCAGTCAGTAGGTCGAGGCTGCAGTGGTCATGGGCGTGCCATCGCACTCCAGCCTGGGCGGACAGAGTGAGACTCCAAGTGCTTACAGAGGAGCCACAGCCCCCGGCCTTGGTACGATGGCTAATTTGAGTGTCCGGGCCCAGGGACTCAGACTCCGCACCGCCACACCTGGCCAGCTTGGGTTCCATGTTGTGGCCTCATTGATCGCCGGGCTCTGACCATGGCCTCATTTATTTGTTTACTTAGTTGTTTATCTTTGAGTCGGAGTCTCACCCTGTCACCCAGGCTGGAGTGCGTGGCACGCTCGCCGCCACGGGCAGCCTCGACCTGCTGGGCTCCGGCGACCCTTCCGCCTCGGCCTTCCAAGTAGCTGGAACCACAGGCAGGTGCCGGCCGTCCCGCTGATTTTTTGGTTTATCGTAGAGGTGAGGTCTCGCCAAGCTGTCCGGGTTGGTCTCGAACTCAGGCAATCTTCTCACCTCGGTCTCCCAGGGTGCTGGGGTTATAGGCTTGAGCTCCCGCGCCCGGCCGCGGCCTCTCTTAGTCAGCGCGTTCGATTCCCCCCTTTCCTCTCCGCAGCCTTAGACCCCGACCCGCTTGCTGTCGATCCTGCTCCAGAAGAGCTGGGTCAGTTACGTCGTCACTCCCAGGGATTTGGGTGGCTCTCGCCTGTAATCCCAGCACTTTGGGAGGCGGAGGTGAGAGACTGCCTGGGCCCAGGGGTTCGAGACCTCATCTCTCCCATAAACCAAAAAATCGGCCGGGCGTGGTGGCACGCGCCTGGGGTTCCAGCCCGGCCGACAGAGTGAGACGCCGCCTCCAAAAAGAGGGAAGACAAGCTTCTAAGGAGTTGGCCTTGGAACAGGACGCGTCGACTCTCGGGCTGCGGCTGACTCTGGGGGCGGGAGGGGGGGCGGT